TTCCCCTCCTGTGGCAGAGCAGATCCACAATGCAGGACAGCGGCACCGCTTTTTCCAGGTGCCGGGTCACGGCCAAGTGCGTGAGGTCCCGCACGCTCCCGGCACGCTTCAACCAAGCAGGCTCCACCCGCGGGGGCTTTTTTTTCCCCCCCCTCCATGCGTGTCTGGGGTTTTTTTTTCTTGCCAGCAGAGCGGAGTCGCAACGTAGGAGGACAGCACTGCTTTTTCCTTCTCCATCCCAGGTCGCAGCCGAGCTCGCAGGGTCCGGTGCGCTCCAGGCACACTTCAGCCGAGCAGCCTGCGGCTGCGTGGAGGGTTTTTTTTCCCCCCACAGCGTGGTTTTTATTCCTCACACGGCAGAGCAGAGTCGTGACGCAGGACAGCACCAGTTTTCCCCCCTCTCCATGCCAGATCACAGCCAACCGCGCAAGGTCCCACGTGCTCCCGACACGCTCGAGCCAGGCAAGCTCCAGCCGCGTGTTTTCTTTCCCCCCACGTATTATTTTTTTTTTTTGCCTCGCTGGCAGAGCAGAGTCACGATATAGGAGGACGGCACCGGCTTTTCCTCCTCCGTGCCAGGTCACGGCCAAGCTTGCAGGGTCCAGCACGCTCCCAGTGTGCTCAAACAGGGCAGACTCCAGCTGCATGGGATTTTTGGTTTTTTTTTTTCCACCCGCACAGTTTCTTCCTCCTCACGCAGCAAAGTGGAGCCGGGACACAGGAGGACGGCGCCGCTTTCCCTCGCTCCATCCCAGGCCACAACCGAGCGCGCAGGCTCCGGCATCGCTTGCGCCAGCGCCGCTTACGCGCTAAACACATGGCACCCACGAAAAAAAGACGTGGAAGGGGAGCGAGCGCTCTGGATTTCAATGCGGGAGGAATTCGGGGAGGATCCGGAAAGCTCTTAGGACTCAAGCTGGGATCGTGGATAATTTCCTTCCACAGGGAAACCCCAAGTGATTGGCGACATTCCGCCCCGGCGTTAACGAGCTCGTTTAGCAGAAAAATGGCTTTTTTTTCCCCCCCCGCCCCATCCCAGAGCCGGAACAAGCAGAGAACACATCCCCCAGGGAACTCTTCCATTTCTGCTCCGATGGTCGCAACTACAAGCCAGCAAATCCTGTGCTGAGGGGTTTTGTTGGGATGCAGGGCTTTGCCGATGCTGGGATCCTCAGGGAATTCGGCTGTCGGTGCTGCCGGAGGGGGATTTCACGGCGTTGAGCAGAGACGATCCGTGTGCCAACTCCTCTAAACGATGCGCCAGGGAGGGAAACCCAGCATTGAACTGTGCCAGGATGAGCCAAAAGCCGCTCCGAGCGATGGCGGCACCACTCTCACCTTCGTGCCATACGGCGGTGGCACCGGCTGGGCTCCGACCTGCTCCCCGCCATCGAGCTGCTTGGGAAGAGGAAATATTCCCGGCACCGCGCAAAAACCTGCCAGCGAACCCACCGGCGCTGCCAATCCCCGGCACGGAGTGAAGCACCATGGCTTTCGCAGCCCCCCCCGCCGGCCCTGACACCGCTCCGGCCAGCGGCAGAGGGAGATGAAAAGATCCCAGCAGAGATTACAAGGTTGCCCATCGCCGGATGCTCGTTTAACCCAGGTTAACGAGCTCGGCAGAGGTTGGCCTCCTTCCACCAGCCTGGGAGCGGTGCCGGTGATCGTGGCGGAGGTGAAGCAGCACGGGAAGTGCCGAGGGGAAGCATTGGTGCGGGTCCAGATCCATCCCATCCCTGCATTCCCAGCCGACGGATGCTGAA